ATTCCATTGACTCCTGTCCCAGTTAATGCTAATGTTCTGACATCACCTCTGACGTAACACGCACACACTCTGACGTAACATGCACACACAGGTGACACCACCTCTGACGTAACACGCACACACAGGTGACAGCACCTCTGACGTAACATGCACACACAGGTGACATCACCTCTGACGTAACACGCACACACAGGTTAAATCACCTCTGACGTAACACGCACACACAGGTGACAGCACCTCTGACGTAACATGCACACACAGGTGACATCACCTCTGACGTAACACGCACACACAGGGGACATCACCTCTGACGTTACAAGCACACACAGTTGACATCACCTCTGATGTAACACGCACACACAGGTGACACCACCTCTGAAGTAACACGCACACACAGCTGACATCACCTCTGACGTAACACGCACACGCAGGGGACATCACCTCTGACGTAACACGCACACACTCTGACGTAACATGCACACACAGGTGACATCCCCTCTGACGTAACACGCACACACAGGTGACACGACCTCTGACGTAACACGCACACACAGGTGACATCACCTCTGACGTTACAAGCACACACAGGTGACATCACCTCTGATGTAACACGCACACACAGGTGACACCACCTCTGACGTAACACGCACACACAGGTGACATCACCTCTGACGTAACACGCACACACAGCTGACACCACCTCTGACGTAACACGAACACACAGGTGACAGCACCTTTTAAATTGGTAATAGATACATTCTGCCAAAAACGATTTAAACAGCATCATACAGCTGTAAGTTATATAAGTGAAAAATAATTCTGGATACATGTACAACTAAAATGTTACCACAATTTGGAAACTCAAATAAAAGCATTTTAGGGTGTTTCTTGATACGAGATTAAGTAATTTTAAGTTAACTCATTATTGATGTATTTATGTGGTTACCGAGTGTCAGATTAAGTATTTTTAAGTTAACTCATTATTAGCTCACCTGGTCCGAAGGACCAAGGTGAGCTTATGCCATACCGTAGCGTCCGACCGTCCGTCGTCCGTCCGTCAACAATTTCTTTAAACGACTTCTTCTTCTTAACCACTCATTGGAATTTAACCAAATTTGTCTGGAGGCATCCCTAGGTGGTGGGGATTCAAAATTGAACAAATGGTGGGGCTGACCCCCCAGGGGGCTGAGGGGCGGGGCCAAAAAGGGTTATTTGGCTATATTGCTTTAAGCGACTTCTTCTCTGGAACTAAGAGATGGATATCAACCGTATTTGACTGGAAGCATCCCTAGGTGGTGGGCATTCAAAATTGTACAAATGAATGGGCTGACCCCTCAGGAGGCTGAGGGGCGGGGCCAAAAAGGGGTTATTTGGCTATATTGCTACAAACAACTTATTCTGTAAAACTATGCACTGGATATCAATCATATTTAATCAAAAGCATTCATGGGAGGCAGGGATTTAAAACTGTACAAATGGTGGGGCTGACCCCCCAGGGGGCTGAAGGGCGGGGCCAAAAAGGGTTATTTGGCTATATTGCTTTAAGCGACTTCTTCTGTGGAACTAAGAGATGCATATCAACCATATTTGACTGGAAGCATCCCTAGGTGGTGGGGATTCAAAATTGTACAAATGGTGGGGCTGGCCCCCCAGGGGGATGAGGGCGGGGCCAAAAGGGGGCAATTTGGCTATATTGCTATAAACAACTTCTTCTGTAGAACTATGCCATGGATGTCGATCATATTTGGTCGAAAGCATTCATGGGAGGCAGGGATTCAAATTTGTACAAATGGTAGGACTGACCCCCTGGGCTAAGGGGTGGGGGCCAAAGTTTATTACTTGGAAATGGTTGAGATCCATATATACAATTGCTGAGTATAAAGAGAAGAATGCACATTTGCTTCCAGGATTGCCCTAGGGTCTGGCCCCACCCTTGGAGACATAGTCCCTGGGCCATAACTTTTAAAACAGTTGAGATCCCCTCCCCAAAAATATATATACAAATGATGGGCATAAACAGACGATCGAATGCAGTCATGATATTAGAATAGACCCTGGGGTCTGACCGAACCCCTAGGGACCTAGTTTCTTAGTCACAGCTTGGAAACAGTTGAGATCCCCTCCCCATAACCATACATATAATTACTGGGCATGAAAAATCTAATACAGATATACTACAAGGATTGGCCTTGGGGTCTGGCATATTCCCTTGATCTCATTTGGAGAATATTTTACCATGATTGCTTAGATATCCAGGTGAGTGATACCGGCCCCCTTGGCCTCTTGTTGATGTATTTATGTGGTTACCGAGTGTCAGATTTCAAGTGTACTGGTTTAATCACTACATAATCTTTCCCATAAACAAATATTCACAGAGTTCTTTCAAATGGCCATACAGCCTGTTCAGAGAGGAAAGATGACACACATTGATAATTATACCTTGGTATGCCAGTACAGATTCAATACTTGAGGCTTTGGTGGTGTCTTAAGTTCTTATTTGGAATTCTTTCAAAATAGATTTCTTTTATAAGTGATGGGTTTCAGCCATAAAAATTGAAATGTACATATATAGGAGGTCCTGTTCGAATAATAGAAGGGGTAATCATGTTACATGCAAATTATTTTAATGACTTTTTCACTTTGATTTTAATTATTCCTAAGTGTTAATTGAGGAATCTATTGTTAGTCTACTTCATGTAGATTTAATACATAAACCTTAATAAACATATACATCTATTCAAGTCAATGGTTAGGGTTCAAAAGACTGAAAACAAACTTCTTCCTAATTAAAGGTAGTTTTCAGATTTGAAATAATAGAAAACAAGCTTTTTCCTATTAAAAAGAGTATCATTTTTATATGAAATGATCATTTTAATTTTGCTACCTAATATTTTTGTTTCCCTTCAAACTTTTTCTGAAAGTTGGCCTTGAAGTTAGGGTCTTACCTGCTATGCCTTATAGAGTTAGGTAGGAGGGTTTCCTTTGTTTAAAAGTCATAGTGCCGAAAACTTGTTTCCTTCCTAAGACTGTTAACGGGATATATAATTTCAGAACTCAACATTTTCAGCGAAAAGCAAAATATGAAGTTGCCTGCTGTTTATTCAACAGCAGAGATTGTCATTTAAAAACAGAGTTATAGATGTGTATTGAGTTGGAAGACATTGCTACCTTCTTATTCATTTGACTCGCATTAATGATTTATCATAACAGTTCTTATTCCTTTGAATCACCTGACCTGAAAGATTTGTTCGATACTCTTGTGGGTAATTTCACTTGGATGTAAATATTGATTTCCACCTGTACTGTAAATATAACTTAGCCTATATAGGACTCTAGGTAAAACGAGGGTAAAAGTACCGCTGCTGTGTACTAGCCATCCACAGTACATACAAAACTTACAGGTTGCGGACATTTTCATTTCTAACTGTAAAAAATAGAATATGCAAGTCATGAATGCCGTAAAATTTACTTTCTTATGGTAGGTCATAACTTTAATATAGAATGACTTTTACTGATGTGACATGAAGTTTAAACTCCTTGAATGGATTCTTTCCAAAAAGAAAACTACAAAAGTTTTCTCTCACAAATGCAAGTGCTAGACAGCATGTTTGATGGTGCATCGTTAATCTGAGCCCCCTGTGATTGTTCTGCTGTATCTCTCTGAATGAGAAACCAAATTGGCTGCCTCAGTTTCAAAATTTGGAATCTTTCTTTTCAAGGGGGCCTCTATAAGTGGCCGAGTGGTTCAGGTATCTGACCGTCTATGATTACTAGCACTAGGCATCCGTTTTCATACATAACTTCATTCACCTATAACACCCTTGAACGTTGTCCATTGGAAAAAAATACAGGAACACAAGATAACATAACCTTAATTTTTGCAAGGATGTAAAATACTGAACAAATCAAAGGCTTCATTTGTCCAGAATGTTTAAGAACATATTGGTCATTGTAAAGCAAGCAAAAACGATATACATGACCACCGTGTTAGCTCTAGGTTTTATGGGAGAGGACACTTTATACATGTAATTGGATTCCTGTGTAGTGCTGAGTTTACAAGCACCTGTATCTCGGGTGTCCTTTAATTATAGATAAGTGATTTAACCACAAGTAGAAAGGGTTCAAGGATTTTGTAACAGTGTGATATTGATATTGTTTCATCTAGACCTGGTGCAATTGTAGAGTTTCAGTGATAATTGCCGGCAATTTGGTAATTATTTATAATTGAAAGCACATCGTGTATAGCAATTGTGTAAAGCAAAATGTGATGAGAGTGCAAAAAAGTCCATTTCGGATGTATTATTATTTTAAACACAATACCTGTAGTATCACATCTGTGATTATAAAGAAACGTTACACTTACAATGTATTGATATTGTTTTCTTTTCAAATGAGGTCTTTGAAGTTTTGTAACCTTAAGATTGAATCCTGACACTATATATATCAAGCTAATATTGTTTCTTATAGTTTCCATCTCATACTATGGACGGTAAATTGTCAGCATGACAAAGGACTTTCAGAACTATATACTTGAAGTGTTGGTGGAATTAGTTTCTTAAAGGGAGTCCCACGAAATTTTCACCTTCACTTTTGACTTATGAAATCAGCAGAATTTGCCTACACCTAACTTACTTCTGTACATATCCAACTCATTGAATAGAACAACTAAAAGTCATTTTCCGCTATTGTCAAACAGGGTTAATTGTGGTAAATACCTATTAAGAATTTTGTTATGAATGGTTTCCTCCCATCAAAAGTAGTAGGGTTATAGCAATCATATTGTAGCTTTAGTAAAAATAGAATCATGGATATTTAAACAATCTGCTGGTTACACAACTATAACATTTATATAAACTGTAACACATCTTCATTTGGTCATCATGTAATCGGTGCTCTTTTTTGAAAGGTATAATAGAAAAGTAAGATTTTGTTAAAGGAATCGTATTAAGCGATATTTGGTATCATTAAACTAAATTGACTTGTGATTTTGACTTTTGTAGGAAGAAGTGTTTAAGTCCACGGCCGGTTTCCTGATACCGAGTGTTGTGTCAGGATACAATGCCACAGTGTTTGCCTACGGTGCTACAGGTAAGGCGATCTGAAATACAGTCTTGTATTAAATTGACAAATACAGTTTTCACACAACATCTTTAGTTTAAGAGTCATATTACCATCTTCAAACAATGCTATAATCCAACTTGCATTACAGTGACAAATGTACATTAATGTATAATCCCTATGTAATTTATTGAAAAATGGAGCTTTTAAGTGTGTTTCAGTGTTTAAAAAAGAAATTTGGTATACTATGGTTCTGTTAAAAAGTATTTCTCATCTCATATCTAAAGTATGTATTACAATGCAACCTTGTCTATATCTACTGGTAATCACCAATAATCTGGAAAGCACCATTAATATCAGGAACCAAATAACTCCAAAACCAGAAACCCAATTAGTCTGACAAAATGATATATATTTTACTTTCTAGTAATCAAGATATGTTCAGTTTGGATTCAAAAATAATCAAACTATTATGGAAGGTACTTTTGTTTAAGATCCTGATAAAAATGTAGGTAATGTTGTATATTATAAATGTATTAACTGTTTCAGGTGCTGGGAAGACCTACACTATGTTGGGAAATAATGACAACCCAGGCATAATGGCCATGTCTCTGAACGTGCTGTTCCAAGAGATGGAGCGTACTAGGGAGGATATGGTCTACAAAGTCTCGATGTCCTACCTCGAGGTCAGATATTGTCCGTTCCTTACATCCTTCCAACTAAACAGGTCTCTTCCATCAAAACCCCGCCCCAAACCAACCAGTCATAATCACTTCTCCTATTAATATTTTCTTGTTTAATCAACTCGCAATTTGAATCATCTTGAAACTAATCAGGATAATTTTTTTATAACATCCTCCTCATAACATTCATTCCTGCTATCAGACATCTCCTAACTTCCTTCCATCCAACTCTCCTGATATCCTTATTAGGAATTACAGTATACATGTATCAAGAAATTTCCCTTGCAATTAATATTTTGTCTTTTTCGTCCGCTGTAATGAGGGAAAATTTGTCATTACAGTGAACATTGTAAACAACATAATATGCATAGTAATTAAATGTGAAGGGCTAACTCAACACTGGGCGAATATGGGTTATTTTGCTGGAGGGCGAAAGTTTGATTGGACAAAAGTTTCCCGGTACAAAGTAATCCTATTCTTACATCCTCTCAGCCCTATGTCAGAACTTTCTCAACCACAAGCTTTTTGAAAATCCTCCCTGAACTTTTGATTTTTTAGCTCACATGGCCCTTACTTTCTCAACCACAAGCTTTTTGAAAATCCTCCCTGAACTTTTGATTTTTTAGCTCAC